ATTTTCACAAAATCATTCATTTTCAAACTCTTTGTTTTTACCGTTCACTTTTATGTATCTTAGCCATTTCTTTATATATATATAGTTTTATACTAGTTTTGAATCCCTTCAATCTTCAAAGGTCTGAAAATATTGTTTTGGGTATTGTTAACTTTTGAGTATTTCAATAACACAGTTGAATAATGTGTGGCTATGGAACACTAGCTGTACTGCAAGAAATTGGCCTATGGTGCTTTGATTTTGCTGGGTAGTATCATGTTGAAAGGGCATGCTTGACGGATAGAATTCCTATTAGAAAATATTTCCTTCTCTTTCTTTTCTTTTCATGAGAGGGGATTGAGGACTTCTGAAGTGATGTGAACTATTCTTTTGAAAATTGGGATTGCCAAATGACCGGTAGTTGTTCTTGGAGTGTGAATGTGATGTGAAAACTATTTTTCTAAGGTTCTGGTTTGTTAGACGACCAAGAGTCATTCCCTAGAAGTTGAGTATGTTTGAGGCAGGAATATTGTAAGGTATTTTAGTGAGACGTCTACCCTTGGCTTTTTGTTTCGTGGAATCGATGGGTTCTTGTGGCTGTTAGAGGTACTCGTGACCATTTTGTCTAATCCTACTAAATGGGGACCTGTACGTAATGGGAGTAGTCTGTTTGGGTTGAGTGGGCCTTGGTAATCCTTGTGGAGGAGTTAAATGAAAGACTCACTGCCTGAGTGTTGTCATTCGTATCTTATGGGGTGGGTCTAAATATTAATGTGGAACCTGAAAATATGAGAGTTAATCGTAGATTTTGAACTAGATTCTAGAGTGGTGATTATAATTTTATTAGGAATTGTTCTCCCCCTTATATCATTGGGTTGTCTTATCTTCATGGGAGTTGTTTCTTGTTCATCAAGCAAAATCTTTTATTTTGGGAGAATCTTCTAGAAACTTGTTGTTGAGTAGAAGTCATTTCTGATTAGTTGGTGGGAGTGTTAGTTCAACCTCTGTTTCATTTGGAATTGTCTAAACTTTAGATCTTGAACTGTTTAATTTCGGGGACGAAATTTCCTAAGGTGGGGAGATTGTAACACCTTGTACTTCTTGGACTAGTGGGATTTCTCTTGACACTCTTATTATTGTACTTGGAGCCTCCTTGGTTCATTTTGAGATATTGATTGAGGTGGCATCATAATGGTAAAGTAAGATTGAACCAAAAACATTGATTCAGATAATTGTCCCATGAGTAGTCTTCACTCTTTTGCCCTTTTCTCTTCCCACACTTTGAATTTGGATATGATGCTAGAACCACTGGAAAGCTTGCTTCCGGGGCTTTGATTTAGACACAAGAATGACCTAAAACAGAGTCCAGACGAGAAAGTTATGCCTATTTGAAATTTGAGTATCTGTGTTGGAAGCAAGTTTGCTCGAGCAAACTTTTGATCGCTCGAGCAGTCTACACGAATTTCAGAGATTTTGGGAGCTTCTTTTCACCCCTCGAGCCAAGCTTTGACTGCTCGAGCAGTCTATTTGAAATCTGGCACTTTAAAGTCACTTTTTGGCCCAAAATCTTTATTCTTTCTTCCTCTTTTGTCTTCCTCTTCTTTACAACTGAAACTCTAGAGCTCCAATCACTTGATTTCTCAATTTTAACCTTAGATTCACCCTATATCCTTCAAGGAGGTTGAAAGGAAAGATTGGATCAAGAGTTCTACCGATTATTTCGTAATTTCGTCGAAGTTTCGAGTTGAGTTCTCATCTCAAGCTTCCATTCTTAAGGTAAGTGTATCTTTAACTTATTATATCTTTAATTTGAGACCTACATGTGGTAATTTCATTACATATTCACCTTTGTATATATATATATGTATATGTATGGATTGTATTTGCTAATAAATGATTTGGAAGGATGTGGGCAATAATTCATGATTATGGACGGAAACATGTCTATTATTGAGGAATAGTATTGTTGATGATGTAAATTAGTATCTAATTCATGAAAGAGAGAAAACCCCTAATTTTTCTACAAACCCTAGTTTTGAAACTTGTTCAATAAAGAGGGTTTTGTTCAATTGATTTGTAAAACATGAAATTGGGCATGTTTATTCGACTTTGAGGTTGAAATATGAACTATTGGATTGTTGTGAATTGAAATTATTAATGTGTATGAATGGTTGGAAGAGTAAAAAGGGGTTTTGCCTAATTGTCCCCTAGAACCTAAAATTAAGTGTATTTACTTGGCTTTGATACTGAAAAGTTAGACTTTGAGAACTTTACACCAAAATTGGAGATGATGATGGTTGCGAATTGAAAGATCTTCTCATTGTTGACATGTGAACTATTGAATTATTGTGCATTGAAATCATTTTAGGAGAAAATGAGAATTTATAAATTCATGCATCATATGCATTAGTAACATTTCTTTTATAATACAATGATGACTTGAACGGTGGAAAGTTGAAAAGGGCTAAATAGTCTATGAGTCCAGGTAGTGAGTCGGGTGGTTTTGAGGTGTGTCTTGTATTTGGTACTTGTGTGGGGAGTCGAGGTGCCCAATTGTTGTATCTGCCCATATCGTTAGACGAATGTGGGAAAATGGTTTTGGCTGTCCGCGTCCCCGCCGTTTCTGGAGCCGGCAAATGCAGAAGGGAAAAACGTTTTTGGGTGCCTATCGCCCTGCCGTTTTTGGAACCGACAAATGTGAGACTATTTTCAGTATACAAAATCTATATCTATGTATGTATTTTAAATTACGGCTCTTACCTGGAATGTCATAGTATATTTACCGCCCCTGTAAATCAGGAATTGCTAATTCAATCTTAACATTGCTCATTTCATTCTCATGCATAAAGGTATTTATGCATACATAATAAAATTTCCAAATGTTTGCATAGTATGATCATGTGTATTTCAATTAATTATATAATTTGTTAAAAATACTTGCTACTGAGCATTCACTCACCCCGACAACTAAAAATTTTCAGGAAATAAAGTTGATGACCCATCTAAATGAATTACTATGGAAAGCAATTTTAGATGAAGCATGAATGATCACTTGTTTGATGTTTTGTGTTGAAGCCTTGGGATAATTTTGTATAACTTCTGAGCTTTTGAACCGTTTCATTTTAACCATGATTGTAAACTGACTGAATTGAAATTTTTTAGGATAGTTCAATGGGGAAGAAGTGTTATGGAATTGTATTATTATTTCTTGATCTACTATTTGTATCTAAGTGGATTCAAATAGGGGAACATGATTTGGGATGTCTTTTCTTAAGGCGTTACAATGATGACCACACCGCCACCGTCGACCATCCGACCACCAGCACCGACGACCGACTCTTTCTTCCCAACATTAAACCCCATCCTCCTCACCTTCTCCAGATCTGGCTCGTGATTTGTGTAGGTGACAGTTGGATCGTGTGAGCAAGGAGCGACGCCACTATAGACTGCTGGTTCATGTAGAGATGAAACCTATGCATTATTTTTTTGGGATCTCATTCTTCTCCTCTTGTCGCAGTATACTCGGCAGAAATTCTTCATGAAAGGAAAACAATGTTTTGAAATTGGGAAGGATTATGTACCATATACACTTGATAACTAACGAAGAAAATGATTTAATTTTATACTTTCGGAGTTATAAGTAAAAAACAAAAAAAAAGTCAAAACTAAAGAGGTATTACCAAATGTCTTAAAATAATATCATAACTAAAAAAAAAAAAAAATTGGTAATGACTAAAGCTATGTTTGGCATAAGTTTTTTGGGTTAAAATAGTCACAAAAAAACAAAATAGATTAAAAAGTCAATAAGACAAAATGTCACATCCAAACCATAATAATTTTATTTTTTCTTTCACAAAAGTCAAATAAGTCAAAAAAATCCATCCCGAACGAGACTTGTTAGTCTCAGGTTAAAAAAGTCAAAATTCAAAAAATCAACTCACATTTTAAACGAAAGCTAAATAATAAAATGACGTAACTAAAGACGTGTATAGTAAAGAGTGTAACGACGTTTGGACCCACTTGGCCATTAAAACTGTCAAGTGAGAGGCTCAAGAATCTGAGACCAAACAAAACAGTGGCAAAACATCAAATAAGTGAAGAACCAAAATGGGTTTTGAATTTCATTCAATTTTGCAAAACTTACCTGAGAGTCGAGAGAGAGAAACACTGGAGACAATGAGAGGATCGATTTTGCTACAGTGAGCCTTTGAGAGATGAGAGAAGAAGAGAGGAGATGAGAGGGGAGGTGGTCGATTTGTCGATGGTGATTGCCGGTGGTGGTCGATGGTGATTGTCATTGGAGAGACTCGTGGTTTGCTTTGTTTTGGAAAGATTTGAGAGATGAAGGTTTAGGCGTGAAACACATGCACCAAAATGCAACTGGGATAAATTCTCTCCCAATCCAACCAAACCCAAAACATGTCATTCAGGGGGTTCGGGCAGCTTGTTTTTGTGTGGATGTAGCGGAGCCGTTGTTGTAATAATTTATACTAATTTGTTAACCTAAAAAATGATGAATTGATATATTCTATTCTTAATTTATAATTAATCACTTTAAATGTTATCCAAACCAAATTGAAATCTGCTTATATGCTAATCTAACAACTAACCATTTACTTTCACAAAACCAATAAAATAAAATAAAATAAAATAAAATAAAATAGAACCGTTAGTCAAACTAACAGTCAACTAACGTATTGGTGGAGTTTGCAAATCAAAAGTATACTTCAAGGGAGGTCAGTATAATTTCAGAAAAATGAGGGGAGGCCATTGTAATTGTGAGAAACTTTAAAGGAAGTGAGTGTAATTTACCCAATTGAAAAATAAATATTTATAACTTTTAATAATGCATAACATAGAATAATTAAAAAAATTAAATTCATGTATAATAAAAATATTCTTATAATCACTACAAGAAAATGCATGTTTGACGACTAAAATTGGCGACCAAACCAATTTTAGTCGCCAAAAACACCACATTCAGCGACAAAAAACATCTTCAGTCGCCGTTGATTAAACCTTTTTAGCTACTAAAGTATTGTAGTCGCCATATATTACAATTGGCGACCAAATTTCCATTTAGTCGCTGTTTAATAGAAGTTTAGGCTACTAACATTTAATTTTGTCGCCATATTGTATCATTTGGCGACTAAACACTTTTTGTCGCCAAAAAAAGGGCATTTTTGTGATTACTTTTTGCGACCAAATCTGGTTTAGTTGTTGTTTATTCAGTATTACCGACGAATTTTTTTATTTAGTAGCCAAAGAGGGATCTTTAGCTGACCAATTGTTTGCCGCCGTTAAGGTTTTTGGCGACAAATAATCGTTTAGTCGCCAAATGTTCGAAAAAATTTTTAGAGGGAAAATAAGTAATTTCGCACCCAGTACATATATATTACACATATTTTTTTTGTTCTCTTCTGTCTCACACACCGACATCAACATACCAAACCCGTCCCTACCAAACCCGTCGCTCACCACCGGCGATCATCACCGTCGCAGGCCACCGGCGCTCGCCACGACCACCACTGCAAATCGGCGATCAGCACTACCGGCCATCATCACCATCGCAGGTATGTTTCTGTCGTCTCTTTCCTTCTCTGTCGATCTGGTTCGATCTGTTTGTCGATGTCTCTCACATCCCCTTCTCTCACGATTAATTTTAGGGTTTCACATTTCATTTCCCATTTATTTCGTACACAAATTTTTAGGGCTTTTCCTGATTTCGTGATTGGGTGTGGTTGAAATTGCGATTGTCCATTTCGATTTTGGATTGCTGATTTTGGATTCTGTTTCTATCGTTTAAATGTGCCTCTGTTTCTGCGATTTCTATGTTCCAAATGTGCCTCTGCTTTTTCTCCCTTTCAGGTTTTACCATGGTTATGACAACTATATGACTTATGCTTTTCCGGTCAGTTCTACTTCCCACTATATGAGATATTATTTATATTTGATGAATATTATGAAGTTGTGGTCTTTTGGTTCTGTAGCATGATGAACTAAAGCCTCTAGCCAAAACATTCACCGACTCCCTTGTCCAGCTACGAAATTTGAAGGTGATTCTTTATTTTTTAAATTTGTTGCAGTGTTCAGCTTTAAATGGATAATTTAAAAGTCCTACTGTTTCAAATTTTAGCTTGAACATTTGCCACAACAGCATCATGGATCTGCCCTCACACTTGTAGAATCGCTATCCAGGTATGATATACTCTTTCTTAGAGACAAGTTCTTAAAAATCAATGTACTTGTATTTTTATCTTATATGCCCTTCTTATGCTGTCACCAAATATCTTTGTATTTAATTTTATTTCAATATTATTACTGATTGTGCCACTGAAGTATTTGTAACAGAGTATATGTTAATACTGTTTCTGTTTCTCAGCCTTGTTATCATTGGGGAACAACACAGAATTTGAAACGGGCTGTTCTTTGGCTTCCTGAAAATCTAACTTTTCATGTTGATGCGAGGATACATCTTCTTCAGGTATTTTAATGTTTTTAATTTAGGATTTAGTGAAGTTGTTTGAGTCAAAGTTTCATTTAATGTGGCCTCAGTTTGCTAATGCAGTCAAGCTTGAGCAATGTTGCTTTTTCTTTTTCTTTTGTTTTATTCTTTAGCAGGGAGTGCTAAATCAAGTTGCATTTTAAGTATCAGATTGTCTTTAATGGTGTTTTCACTATTGTGTAGTGCAACATAAGAGTTCTTGGAGGACTTGTTTCTGCTCATATTCTTGCAACTGATTCTACAAACAACTTGGTCCAAAGAAATTATAAGAATCAACTTCTTATCCTGCCATAAGATTTACGGCCGCGCTTTCTACCTGCTTTTGATACCCCCACTGGATTGCCATATGCATGGATTAACTTGAAGGTACTTCTTATATCCTGCTTAACTTATAAGACAAATTCCAAATTCCGCAATTGTTTACAAATTGTTATGTATCCAAGATGTTTTATTTAACCTGGTAAAGTAGCTTTGAATTTTTGTATCTCTTCAGAATCATCAATGGTGCTTTGCATTTGCTGTTGTACCATGGTTTCAAATGTTTGCATTGTGTTACCATTAACGTTTGGGAATTTTGTATACGTATACTATGTGGAACTCATGCCATATTGACCATACGCTGATATTTCCATTGTGTTGGCGTTGTTTGTCACATTTAAGTATCTGATCAATATCACTTATATATTCATAAGTTTTTACCCCTCTTCTCTTGCAGACACTTGAGGTTGATTTCTACAGGTGAAAATAATTTCTTTAAAAGTCAGCCTCAATTGAGAAATCTGTGGCCAGCACATAAGAAATTAGGATTACAAAGTCTGATTAACATACCAAACTGTACGAAAAACTTGAGGTTTACACTGTCGTTGATTTCTATAGTTGAAAATAATTTCTTTAAAAGTCAGCCTCAGTTGAGAAATCTGTGGCCACCACATAAGAAATTAGGATTACAAAGTCTGATTAATCAATAGCCTAAATATTGTCACATCTTTGTACTGCAAACCTTTGGAACTCCATAGAAATAATAGAGGATAATCTGCTCAATATGATGATTGAAGAACGTGGTTGTCCTTTTACGCATAATTCGTTCAAAACAGATGAAAAATAATCTCTCTGATCTCCTGGGATAGCTGTACCCTTTCAACCATACTGTTGATTTTGAAAGCACCTAACTTGACAATCTAAGTTGCACAAGAAGTTGCGCTGCCTTACTGTATAATGGGACAATAATAGAATGGCAATGGCCAATGTAAGGCACCAAACCATATTCTAACTACATTTCATTTGTCTAGGCCCTCAATATGCTTGGGCCATCTCTAGTTCTTGAGTGCTCCTGTGATATTGTTTAGTGTCAAAATTAGAGTGAAAAATCAGCTTGTCTCTAGTTCTTGAGATATTGTTTAATATCAAAATGAAAGTGAAAATATGTTCAAAATATGTGAGAAAGAGTTTTAAAAGTAACAGACAAAGTGTTTCTGAGATTGATGAATTTTATTGTTTGTTTCTGATGTTGTAATTTTTTTCTGGTAATCTAAATTGAGAATATGACCTATGCAATAATAAATAAACCCATTTATAATGACAAGAGAGTCACAGTGGCCATTGTTGATGTTCCAATCTAAATGTATCAACGGTTCAATCCTTCTTTTTACAAGAGAGTCACAGTGGCCATTTTTAAATTTTTTAAATTTTCTTTTTTGTTAGATGATGGTTACAAGGATCTCCATTTCTACATGTGCATCATGTGTGTTTTGAACTCCTAGTTTATGTACTTAGAATAATGATATATAAACATAGTTTTGAGGCATAATCAACGCGACATTGCAGCAGCCAACCTGGTGTTTTGATACATTACACAAAGGACCGTGACGTAATTTCCATAAGGTAACCAAGTCCAATTGAATGTCATTTCAGATTTAAGAGTAATTGAAGAAACCAAGAGAAAGTAGAATGAATTTTGATTTAGTACAATATAACTAGTACACTATAACTAGTACAAAGGAGCTTTGATTTCAAAATTCTAACTGTGAACAATGAATATGTGATATTAAGTTTCTTAATAATAAATCTATACAAATAAAACCAACAGTAATTTCATGAACAAAGCTCCACATTTTCCACCTTATTTGGCCTACTTACAGGAGCTGATGCAACCTGATGCAACCTGGTTGGATGAACACTTTGATAGGCTGCCCACAACAGATTAGCAACCTGATTTGGCCTAGTTACAGGAGCTGATGCAACCTGATGCAACCTGGTTGGATGAACACTTTGATAGGCTGCCCACAACAGATTAGCAACCTGATTTGGCCTAGTTACAGGAGCTGATGCAACCTGATGCAACCTGGTTGGATGAACACTTTGATAGGCTGCCCACAACAGATTAGCAACCTGATTTGGCCTAGTTACAGGAGCTGATGCAACCTGATGCAACCTGGTTGGATGAACACTTTGATAGGCTGCCCACAACAGATTAGCAACCTGATTTGGCCTAGTTACAGGAGCTGATGCAACCTGATGCAACCTGGTTGGATGAACACTTTGATAGGCTGCCCACAACAGATTAGCAACCTGATTTGGCCTAGTTACAGGAGCTGATGCAACCTGATGCAACCTGGTTGGATGAACACTTTGATAGGCTGCCCACAACAGATTAGCAACCTGATTTGGCCTAGTTACAGGAGCTGATGCAACCTGATGCAACCTGGTTGGATGAACACTTTGATAGGCTGCCCACAACAGATTAGCAACCTGATTTGGCCTAGTTACAGGAGCTGATGCAACCTGATGCAACCTGGTTGGATGAACACTTTGATAGGCTGCCCACAACAGATTAGCAACCTGATTTGGCCTAGTTACAGGAGCTGATGCAACCTGATGCAACCTGGTTGGATGAACACTTTGATAGGCTGCCCACAACAGATTAGCAACCTGATTTGGCCTAGTTACAGGAGCTGATGCAAAAAAACGTCATAAACTTAGCCGCAAAAAGGCCTTCAAGTGCCGAAAATTGAGAGCAGCCCCCGAACCATTGCCGGGATGGGATGGGTAGTTTCCTCGTGTCAAATAGGACTTGTGGGGACAGACGGGATGTAATTAGCACGTGTACGTTGGGATTGGCGTGAAAACGTCATAAACTTAGCCGGAAAAAGGCCTTTGTGGGCGAAAATTGAGAGCAGCCCCCGAACCACTATATTGATGGGACGGGTAGCTTCCTCGTGTCAAATAGGACTTGTGGGGACATACAGGATGTAATTAGCACGTGTACGTTGGGAGTTGGCGTGAAAACGTCATAAACTTAGCCGAAAAAAGGCCTTTGAGGGCCGAAAATTGAGAGCAGCCCCGAACCAGCATTTGATGTGACGGGTAGCTTCCTCGTGTCAAAGACGACCTGTGGGGATAGACGGTACGCAATTACCACGTGTACGTTGCGAGTTGGCGTGAAAAACGCATAAAGCTTATACAAATATATATATGTTCTATAAGCATGTCTATATATGTACAGTTATGAGTAAAATATATATATGTTTACACATTAGACTAAACTTGACTTGGGGTTCACTTGGAAATTTCTTTGCACTTTCAATACAACTTAACGTGTAAAGGAACTATATTGAAGTTCCTAAATTCAAACAATATTTACATACAATTGCAATTGCAATTACAATTGACATGCTTGCAATTTGTGTTTTGTAGATGGCTATAACTTTTTGTTTACAATGGAACTAATGGGTGTAATTTTTGTTGTGTAGATGGCTTTTGACATTGACATGTGGATCTTCTATTTTTTTGCCCGGAAGATAATTCACACTTATGCGAAATTGGGAAGGTTTTTTGTCGTCCTATACTTTTTGTGTGGACTGTGGATGCATGGAACATATAATTTTTGGAGCTTGTATTAATGGCTCTAGTATTAATTAATATAGATTACCTTTTGTCATGGTACATATTACCATAGTAATTTGTACCTCGTCAAATGGTCATTACAATGCATAGTATATAGTAAAACTGTTGTGTACAGAGGACATTGTTTTGGTAATGTATTTGGAATGTATGACATTATTTGTAATTGAAATATATAAAGTTGGATCGTACATAAGTTTATATTATTATTTGTAGTTGGAGTATATATAGCAGATGTTCATTTTTGTTTCATTGTTCTAAGTGAAACATATATTACGGAATAGGTGATAATATATATAGGTTGTATACGTACAGGTTGCGGTGGATATATAATATAAAATAAAACTCGACAAAATGAAATAAATGATGTTTTTGGTGACAATGAAATTGGTAGTTAAAAAGAAATAAATCTTTTGGCGACTAAATGTTTGGTAGTTAAAACTCAAACGACTTTTGGCGACTAATAATTTAGTAGCCAAAACAATTTCAAAATAGTTATGGCGACTAAATGTGTGGTAGCTAAAAATCAAAAGCCTTTTGGCGACTAAATATTTAGTAGGCAAACAACTCGAAAACATAATAAAATAATTATGGCCGACTAAGGTGTTTAGTAGCTAAAATCCAACATATTTTAGCGACTAAAGTTTTTCGTCGCCAACATGTAGTAAGTAACTATGCGACTAAAAATGTAGTAGGTGAAAGTTACAGTATTGGCGACTAAACATTTCGTCGCCGAAGACATTTTTCCTTTTTGCGACAAAAACGTTTAGTAGCTAAATATGTGAGTTAAAGGAATTAATCAACCGATTCGGCGACTAACATTTTAGTCGCTAATATCCCTTATCAGCGACTACGGATCTTTTAGTCGCTAATATCTATTCTTTTTGCCTACTAACAGGTTAGTCGGTATTGTATACTACTTATGGCGACTAAATGTAGTTTAGTCGCTAATTCCTTAGGCGACTATGTATCCCCGACGAATCCAGCGACCAAATTATTTAGTCGGGAATGTCTTTTGGCGACGAAATTTAATACTTTTGGCGACTAAGTTTTTAGTCACCAAAAGTGTATTTTTTTGTAGTGAATTAAAAAATAAACACAGTATAATTTTCTCTAAGAGGAAATTTCATTTTACTTCCCTAAACTATACCTCGATGATCAATTTAATCCCTGTACTTGTTATAATTTCAATTTTACTCCTAAACTATTTTATTTTAAATCAATATCACCCATTCTGTTAGCTGCCATTTATAATAAAATGGAAGTTACTGACATGGTATTGAAATTTCATTTTAAATTTTATATTGACACCCAAATTATCTCAAAAATATCAATTAAATCCTCAAAAGTAACTGAAACATACCTATATCTCATATCCGAGCTGTAGCTATCATGAACCTATGTCTTACCAAGCCTTATCTCAAGTATTTGGAAAAATTG